GGCACCGTCACTATACGGCGTGCATTTTTTTTTTTACAGAGTTAGGTTTTTCATTCCCGGATAACCATTAGAAAGCCAGAAAGGGTTTCTAACAAAATTAGTTTTTTTTCTTGAAAGTTGTTTTGATGAAAAATTCTTTTAAAATATACCTCACAAACGGCTGGCATGTATTACGTCATTTACGTGACTATACATCTAATGAGACAAAAACTGCTAAACATAGACATTATTGATATTGATTATGCTTTACAGTACTTCCGAAATGTAAATGTTTATAGATATTTGATAGATTTCAAAGACAATAATAATTTCAATGTCAATCCTGTCTCACTTCCTTTGGAAACATTAACTTTCTGGGACCTTCGCAATGCTTTACGTCATTTGTTCTTGTAGTAACGATAAAATACTTTTCATATTTTTTCGGAACGAATAATCATCACAGACGGAAGTTGACATCTTTAATATTCAGATCTGATGTGCACCATTTTCAGTAAGTTGATACTGAACTAGACACCCCTCCCCATCTTCCCAGCCCTGATGAATACCATTTGTGTCAATGTTTATATCCTATGACATATTTAACGTATTATATCATGAATAATTTGGTTGAAATTCTTTTAAAGCTTAACAATATTTTGTCTGATACATTCGTTTTAACACAGATAATTTTTGAAAGGCAATTTAATATCTTATAAATGACTTAATTAATTTCTGAAAAAAGTCTTAATCGAGATAAATATATAGATTGTATGCAGCGGAAGGAGAAAAGCATGTCTCTTGTCAAAAAATAATGCATGATTATGCTTGTTTTTATTTCTTAAATATACAGCGGATTCATATATGTTAAAATTGCCTTCACTTGTCCGTGTAAAGAAAAATGTTAATTGCTGATTAGAACTGTTAATCTTTATTCAGACACAAATAAATAATTGATTGCATCATGTTTCATTTTATTACATAGAATTGCCGAAAACACTCACAACTGTAGCCATGCAAGATTTGTCAAAATAATATTATTTCATTATCTAAACTCCTTATAGATTACAGTTGCGGATCGAGGAATTTACTAACGGGGAAGGGGTGGTATTGAGGACAGGGTGTCTGGAGCTGCGTTGAAGCCCCATGGGGGTTGGGAGCACATTTCTGGTAGGGTCCAGGAACGAACATCTACTATAATATGTGCCCCCTCCCCATTGATTTAGAAAACCAATCGTCATTGTATAATTGTCGAATACATTGCCATGGCGGTAAAATAATATTTCGGAATATCTCATACCATACGTGTAGATATTCTGATAAGTTTGTGTTTAATGCTAGTACCAAAAAAAAAATTAATTAAATGCTTGTTTTACAAAATACAAGCAAATTTTTAAAAAAATCAAACGGTGGATTGGGGGGGGGGGGCGCTCGGTGCAACGGCCCTGGATCCGCCTTTGAATTGCATGTTTAATTTGAACCTGTCTTGAAAGCACTGATGTCAACATTCAGCATGATAAATGTATAATCTAAATCATACTTTAAAAAAGCTGCATGATAATTTTCAATAAAACACTAAAAAAATCTTTTCTTGAACAGTAAAGTCAATATCACGTCCAATATGAAAGAGACGCTCGTTTTAATGAGAGGTATATGTATTAATGTAAACTTATATCGTTTGACTGTTTTTCACTGTATATATATTGATTGAAAATTTATCATATTATTATTTTATTTTGGAAGACTGAAGAATTTGGTTATTCAACATATACCGGCTCATTGTGACGTCATGTTTTAATGTATTGCCTCATTAATTTCCATGTAATGTCCCTTGATAAATTTTACGAAGAAAAGTTTATGTGGTTTTCATAACATTCAGATACAGATTTAAGCAATAAATTCCTGTAAAAGTATAGATTAGATAATAACACATTCAGATCCAGACTTCAAAATTTAATTTCTTTAAAAGTATAGATTTCAATGAGGAGGAAAAGTCACATCTATCCAAAAACGAACTATTTTCAACTACAGTTTTTCTTAAAAACGGACGTGGCCGCACTTTTGTACAGTTATTTTTTCTCTTTAATATTAGAAACCGAAGTAAACTTGTTCTTTCTGCGAAGTTTCGCATACATACTCGGATGCGGCCACATCGATATATAGACTTGAAAAGGAGGGAAAACATCCCAAATAGGTGAATTTCGGAATATTTGACCGGTTTTGAACGTTATATACACAGAAAGTCACGTGAGTTGAGGAAAATTGATACCAGTTTTACACAAAGGGGAACCTTAACAATAAATTGACACAGTTCAAAAAATATTGTGCGTTCAATTTTTGACCTATTTTACAGGGCTGCCTCGTTATACATACCGTACCCAGTTCTGACCATTGTTAATTGACAATACGTCGTCTTTATATCTAAATGGCTTGTTAAAGGCCACAGCAAGTGTTTCTTGATTTTGATCCCAAAATTCAGGTGAATACATGAAAGAAATATTATAGGAAAAATCTTTGAGAAATTGTTAATGTGTAAGACGTAATTACAATGCAAAAGGGGATATCTTCGGTCCTGTAGCACACCTGGCTGTGCCGACAAATTATCATACCACGCTAACCCGCAATATTACATTTGTCGGCACGGCCAGGTGTGTTATAGGGCCGAAGACATCCAAATATATGAATTCAATGCTTAAATAAAATACACAATCTCTTTTTAACATTACTCTAGATTTTTGGTTTTTCGATTCTTCCTTGATCTTATTGGCTTGTCCTTGAACCTCAATTAATTTGCGACACCTTACTGGGTCAAGGTCACTTCATCTTACTCAATGACCAACATTTTTGGACTATGAAAATTATGTAAGAGGTTTGTGAAAATTAACACATCGCAAAAGGTATATTATGTAAGTTTGCTGGTTCATATTCATCATTCATTCTTTGAACATTGGTGTTAGAACCGAGGGTGGGGGTGATTTTTTTTTTGCAAAGATAGATATAATATAGGCATAAAAATATTCAGAATATATATTAAAAAAAGAACCTTCAAAATATTTCAAGTGATTATAGGAGCTCCATACATCAATGTTATCATATTTTCAACTCTGTTCAGATAATGTTAAGCGTAGAAGTATGAGAAATAATTTTTTTTAGATGTATAATCTAAAGATTCCTGCTTTTTGATTAAACAAATAAAATGCATTTTGAATGCTAATAAATAGATGAACGTCAAAGATCTGTGCAAAATATTTCATTTATTCAAATTTAACATGAAAGAAATGTATCATTTTGTAGAATTCTTCTTAACAATGTATTGTCTAGATAAAAAATTGAAAAAAAAATTATGATTTATTTTTTTCTGGTAACAGAAACGAAGGTTAATACATGTATATCTTACTTATGTTTCTTTTCACTTATGATTTTGTACAAAACTATGATGTGACATGAATATGCCAATGCTCTAATAAAAGGTAGCTTAAGGGTTTATCTTATATAAATATTATTTTATAGTATGACATTACATATATTAAAGGAAATAGGATATACAGCGTATTCTATTGCAATATTTAATGTACTTTCTTTCAAAAATACCGCGGTATATTATGCAATAAAATAAACACGTGTTGGTCAGTTAGTAACTAAAATTATATGCCCCATTTCGAGCTGAGAAAAACTTAACGTATATATGACAAAGGATGATGAACATCTTTTTAGCTCACCTGAGCCGAAGGCTCAAGAGAGCTTTCCTGTTCACATTTTGTCCGTCGTTCGTCTGTCTGTCCGTCCGCCTGTAAACTTTTCACATTTTCGTCTTCTTCTCAAGATCCAAGAGGCCAGTTTTAACCAAACTTAGTACAAAGCATCCTTGTCTAAAGGGGAATTTAAATTGATAAATTGAAGTCCCCTCACAAGGTTTGATAATCAAGAAAAGACAAAAAAGGGTGGGTTCATTAAAAAATTTTGTTTTTAAGAACCACTGGGCCAGAAAAGCTGAATCTTATGTGAAAGCATCATAAGGTAGTGTAGATTCTAAATTGAACAAATCATGACCCCCGGGGGTAGGGCGGGGCCACAATGGGGAATCAAATTTTAACATAGGTATATATGGGAAAAATCTTTGAAAATCTTCTTCTCAAGAATGGACCAGAAAAGCTGAAACTTATGTGGAAGGATCTTGGGGTAGTGTAGATTTTAAACTGTACAAATCCTGACGCCGGGGGTAGGGTGGGGCCAAAAAGGGGAATCAAAATTTTACGTAGAAATATATAGGAAAAATCATTGAAAATCTTCTTCTCAGGAACCATGGGCCAGAAAAGCTGAATCTTAAGTGGAAGCATCCTGGGGTAGTGTAGATTTTAAATTGTACAAAAAAAAAGGATATCAAAATTTTACGTAGAAATATATAGGAAAAATCTTTAAAAATCTTCTCCTCAAGAACCACTGGGCCAGAAAAGCTGAAACTTATGTGGAAGCATCCTGGGGTAGTGTAGATTTTAAATTGTACAAATCCTGACGCCGGGGGTAGGGTGGGGTCAAAAAGGATATCAAAATTTTACGTAGAAATATATAGGAAAAATCTTTAAAAATCTTCTCCTCAAGAACCACTGGGCCAGAAAAGCTTAAACTTATGTGGAAGTTTCCTGGGATAGTGTAGACTTCAAATTGTCCAAATTATGATCAGTGGGGTAGAGTGGGGTCACAATATGTATTACAATGGGGAAATCTGGTAAAGAACAAGATTGTCAAAGCTTCTCAGGAGAGCGATGTGGCCCATGGGCCTCTTGTTTGAATGGTTTTATGATTTTTATGAATGCTAAACTGTATTACATGTTTGAAGTTTCCTAAATAAAATCATATAAAAAGTAATTATAAGAGTAAGTTAACAGTAATATAAAAAGTATTGAAACACCAAAGTAGGTACAAGTTTCTAAAAAGGACCCAACCACAAAAAACGTAAGCATTAAGAATAATTTTTGAGGAACATTTTGGTGAAAAAAAAATTAACAACCAGCTGACCTTTTAAATTAAGCACAATGATATAATATTGTTCCACGGGGAAGCATATTCAATCTTAAATGAGTCGCGTCCTGGATTCTGTGAAAGGGAATTTGTGGAAAGGAATTTTGATACGACTGTAGAGATCCCGAAAAATCTCCAGTGATTTGTTGACAGATGCCCAGTATTTTACAGGAAGTATCCCTCTCCGCAGTTGACACATAATCATCATCATCATAGAGAAGCAGTGTCAGTAGATCATTTAAAGATTGTAATGACCTGACTGTGTCACCCAGCCTGTGGTGATTCAGTATAAATAACATGTGTAAAATCACGAAAGGTGGGACAAATAATACACGTGTTCTATTCTTTCTAATAATTTTCTGCTCTAACTCTAGTTCGTCAATGTAAATGACCTTAAATATCAAACGAATGTTAATCATTACAGCTCTTTTGATTTTCATTTCCAGAGACATCCCCGTCGTGTAGTATTCATACGTATCTATATCTACAGTTTTATCATACACAATAAAAGGGGCTGACATTCTCTCCTGTGCTTTCTTTAAGCAATTGAGGGAGAGTTCATATCTACGAGTTCTGTAGAAATACATAGCAAGGTACAGAATGTCTGACACAAAACCTGTTGTACATGGCAGTTTTAACATAGCTGTTACTTTATAGATATTGCAATAAACCGCGCGATTTTTATTTGGGTCTATATCGTTCTGTATCGAAAGTGAAGAGTTCCTTAATAAACTTGATGTCATGCATTGTAATGTAACAACCTGGTGCGATGTCAGCTTCGGTCTCATCAATCTCTCAACTTTATTCATGCAAAATGGAAAGTCCTCAACGCTCCGGTAACATTCTAACAGCTGTATTTCCTTAAAGAAGCTGATATCTAATTCTGTGCTCGTTTTTATACGGCTATCGTCTGTACAAGCACTCAATGAACTGTATAAAATGGGTTGACTGAGATAAGGTCTAATGGTTTGACTTAATAATAGAAAAGGTATGCCTTTACAATATAAATCCTGCAACCGATTACACAATGCTGCTTGTACAGATCCGGTGACTTTCATTGTAAACATGTTGTTTTTTGGAATAAAAAAGTTTGAACATTCTCCAATTCGAACCCAGTATATTAATAATTTAAAACATTCCAAGAAGCAACGCAGTAAGTAATTGGGTGTCCAAATTAAGGAATTATTGTTTTGAATGACCCAAAATAAAACTGATTGATAAAATACGAAAAAAGAATTGGGGAATTCCTTTGCGAACTGATTAGTTCCTTGAGTAAAATTTTTAGTAGACAATAACACAAAAACTGACAGTGATTCATTGTACAGACAAGTTTGAGTTCTGCTTGGGAGAAGGATAATCTCCATTCTTCCTCATTCTCGGATTTGCTTCCAATAGGAACAATATGAATTCCATTACACAGTATGTTCGATAAAACATTGCGGGTTGGCCAACCGTGTTAAAGCCATCTCTGTTTCGATGGTAGAGCTAATGTCGGCCAGTGGTGTGAATGAAAACAGAACACAATAACTGCCTCAAAATTCAGTTTTCTGATATTGGACGAACAGGGTCCGTGCGGAATGGATGATGCAAAGTATCCATCGATTGCCTTTATGAATTGTGAATGGTTATTGCGGAACAATGTACTAGAAATATATAATTCGTTATTACTAATTAAACAGGAGGATGTGATATATGGAGGATTTGAGGGACTTAACAAATGCAGTCTGGTAAATCCCGGTGGTAGCTCATCACACTCCATCAGAATCACAGTGTGTTGTGGGATAGGGTAGAGACTGATCTGAGAGAGATCACAGATGACCTTGAGGTCTTGAGGCCAGCACATAAAATCTACATCTGACGTTATCAGCCGAAATCCCTCACGCTTACGTCCACTCTTCATTTTTCTCAATCCCCTTCTATTATCAAAAGGTTGACTTAGAACTTCTACAGTGTCGTCTACTTCTTTTCTGAACATCACTTCTTTAGGAGTCCCTATTTCATGACACAATCCCACATAAGCCGCCTTTGAGAGTCGAGGAACGTGTAACATTCCAATTTTTTACAAAAAAATAAATTATATAGTTGCAAAAATCTGGAAAAAAAAGATATATATATATATGTTAACAGGTGCAGTTACGTCAGTGATATTTGCTTACTAAACTTAAATATTTTACTTTGCAGATTAAAAACTCACACGCATATATTGTGTCAAATTTTGAATAGTTTCAGCTGTCAATTACCTAGTATGCAAAATGAATACTGTTATCTACTGCCCTACAATATTTAAATAAGAAAAAGATATTTTGTAGGGTTTGGATTTCAGTGATTTCTTTAAAAAAAAATACTACAGTTAAATTTTAAATACCTTATTTGAAAACGAAAGTACAAACGAGGGATTTTCCATCAGATTAATCCATCTTCTAAAGTCACCTTCAGAGTTTGAAAAAGCCATTTACTATTGTACCATTATATCCATGGTATGTATATCCTTCCATCAATTTATTTTATTATATGTTTAACTTGCCATGACCTTATTTATAATTAATATAAGTTTGAAAAAGTCTGCTTCTAAAAATATCCAAGATAAGATAACATGTTCATAAATGTCAAAATGACAAAAAAATCAAGTTACGATTTATTAGTGTAAATAAAGTTATATATGTAGTAAAAATCAATAGCTTTAAGTCCAAATCTGCATGTAATTCAGTAACATTCTTAGAGATTCTATTTAATATCTAAGTGCAATGGGGATCCAGGCCAGGGTAAACGATGTCCGTTTGTTTGTTTACTTCGTTCCCTAACAAAAAGTTCTATATAAAAATAGTTAACTATTGTGAACTATAGATAACATGTACTACACTTAAATACAATTAATTAAAGGTAATTAATGATTTATTTTACTTTACAAAAGATATTTTTCAATGTCTCCTCCTATAATATTTCACAATATTTTCAATTTGCAATCAATGCAATTTTTTCGAATACACTACAGGTTAATATTTACGTCCCCCTTTTTTGCGAAAGTGAGGGGACATTAAATCTTGCGTGTCTGTCAGACTGTCTGCCTATTAGTGCGTCTAGATGTCCGTCTTTCACTTAAAGGCAAGCATTTTTACCGGGTTGTAAATTCAAGGTGAGGAAGTGGCTTATTTTGAACAGGTGTGAATGATTGGGTCTACCCAATGAGTCTACCTGTGGTCGCTTGTCCCCTTATCCTTATACACAGGAAGTGATTAAATTCAGGGCATATTACTAAGATCAATTAGAACCAAGTCAGGAAAGTCACCTCGTGACATAGCGGTCACAAGGAGAGGGGATCTTGTTTTTTCTGACCTTGACACAAGAACGGTTAACATAGTGAAGAATGAACAGATACAGGAAGTTATTAGACTACAGGGTGGATACCTTACAATGTCTGCATGACCTCTTATGAAGACACTTTGGTTTTCATGGTCAGCGAAAATGGCGAACAAGCTAAGGTTGTCCGTCACTCTGGTTCTACAAAGAAACAAACCATTCAGTTTGATAGCAACCACAAATCTCTATTCTCACTTGGTTACTGTAAATGCATTAATGAGAACATAAACTTGGACATTTGTGTTGCTGACAATAAGGCCAAAGCAGTTGTGGTGGTCAATGAGGCAGGAAAACTCCGATTTAGATACGAAGGTCCTCCCTCTTCTTCTAAGGGGACCTTTGGTCCAGTCGGCATCACAACAGACAATCAGAGTCAGATCCTGACAGCAGACTGTGACAACAACTGTATTCACATCTAGCATCAGGATGGACAGTTCCTTAGTTTAATTGATAATAGTCTTCTAAATCTTCCATGGGATTTATGTGCAGACACAGGACGCAATTTCTTTGTTGCTGAGTGTTGCAATGGTAATGTGAAGAAAATAAGGTATGTGAAAATAATTATTTAAAAGAAGTTCGATGTCATCAGAGGAATGTAAAGAACAAAAATTCATTATGTGATTAAATATATGGAGTTCAATTTAGGAAATGATGGAAATCATTAAAAATGTGCAAAGGTTATCAACAGTTTATGAAGAGTGGACAAATAGCCCAGTATATCTTTTGTAATTTTTCATAGCCCTTACACGTTCTTGTGAACCATTCTATTCTTCTCTGTTTTATATTTCAAACCATTATTTATATCCGAGATTGTCTTTATCTATACAACTACATTCAAAAAAGCATACAACTGCATTAAAATCATAACACATTTCAAATATGAACAAAATTAAATAAAAAATAAAACATCTGTCATATTTTTTTGTTATCTCTTATATCAACACTAGAATATATATACCCTTTGCATTTCAACATGCCATATATGTTTTTTTTAATCACTAATATCAGTACAAAGGTGTATTCCCTTCGCATTGCCATATGCCATGTCAGTTTTTTTTTAATCTCTGATATCAACACTAGGGTATATATACCCTCCACATTCGTTCCACCTGAATAAACACCAGCAGGAACTCATGGCAAACGTCTATTGTAGGCTTTTATTGCCTTTCTGTCATTTCGTTGAAATGCACATCCTCTGAATATCATCTAATAATTTTTCTTCGGAAAACCATGGTTTAGGCAGTATAAGCAACGCCGAACATATCACCTATATAGATTTAATGAGTAATGACTGTACTTTCAATGAAATCAAATTCAATTTATGATATCAATATTTCATTTTAAAGCCTATTTTAAATTATTATTTATACAGATATAAATATACACAATGAAGTGTGTTTCTTTATTTTGTTTGAATGAGAATTAACGTTGCATTTTTCTGAGACGGTTGCAACATTAATACCTGTACCATCATATAGAAATATTTAGGAAAATCTCAAAACACATTAATTTTACTTTTACTGTAGAATTGTATAGAGAAATACCTTTAATTTTCGATTTTTAAAGCAAAATATTGAAATTCTACAATATAATTTATTATAACATTTGACTAGAAAAACATATCAAACAATACAGCTCAAGGCACTTAAGCTCACATGATTTTCGCACAAATTAAGGTCACATTGTTCTAATGAAAATACCATGTTTAACTGCAGTACAAAGACATAACGTTATATTACATATATAACGTTCAAACATAGATGCCTTTTAAATTTATTATTTTAAGTTTCTAAAGTGGATGTTTTAAGGGGAATTTATATGTAAATGGTACGATTTTTCGACTATACGATTCTACCATAGGTTTTTAACAATTTTGTAAAACGAGCTTTCCTTGATATCATGTAGTTGAAATTTTGAATTTTGTTTCCTAAAGGTAAGTAGTTTTTAAAATTCTTTGTTTTTTACCATACTTCTCTTGGTTTTGTCGAAATGTAGCGCCGAAAAGGGATAGCATTGCAAACGGAAACCAGACTAAAGGGTAGGATAATGAAGTATTGTTTATTTTTTTCAATAGTAAATTCCTTCTATGAAAAGGAAAATTCCTCTGCATTTACATTTTGAAAGGTTAGAATTTTGCATAAGGATGAATCTCTCATGAGTCCAGATTTTAAAAGTTGACTCTGAAAAATCCCATCTTTTTAACATACAAAGCAGTCAAACAGATAAAAAAAACCATTATCACCCCGAGCTAATTAAAGAGTCAAAATGTACAGAAAATACAAGCTGGCAATAGCTAAACTGTGCCCATGTCTACGTTTCTGCAAACAGTTGTTGCTTTCATAAGAACGGATAAAAAGACAATTGCAATTGGCAAGAAACCACAAAAATTCAAATGAGAGTAGCTGTTATTTTTCAGCCATGAAAATATCAAAGTTCTACCAATTGATATGTGTGAATTTTGCTTTAGTAAATGAAATACCCCCGGTAAAACTCAAATAATGTAAACAAATACTTTTAAAATGTATTTTGATTCCTCAATACACAATATTACATCATAACAATGTGACCTAAATTTGTGCGAAAATTAATGTGAGCTTAAAAAGTGCGTTAAGCTGTATATTCATGTAGCGTAGAATTATATAGAGGTCTTCTTTAGGCAAGTTGTGATAAAACATTAATTTATTGCAAAAGCTGATGGTCAACGGCATCTCGATATATCGCCCGGAAACGAAATCTGACAGACCCCTCCAAAATAGTATCCCCTTCTTCAGTGAAAGCACGGGACAGAAATGAAGTCATAATTTATACATGAGATGAAAATATTTCGGGAAAATGCTTTGCGTTATATTTCTAATTATGCACAAAGACTTCGATTTGGATGGACAGCCATCGCAAATGACAACTTGTACGGATAAAATTTGATTTCCTTTACATGTCTCATATTTTTGATATTTGTGAAAATTATTCTAGTCATAGTTTCTAAATGCAGAGCTTCCTCGATAGACAAAATTAAGTCAAAATAAAAACAGTGTAAAGATGCATATTTTTGTTAAATTGTTTTTCATTTATCTGCCTCTTCTCTATCTGTACAATCAGAATGTTTTTAATAGAATAATTTTGCAAATGACCAAATGACAAGATAGTTAACGAATTCCATTGTTATAGAAAAAGCAGCTGCTAATGATTTACTCCTGGACATCAAGCAGTCAAACCGTTGGCATGATTGTAATCAGCATTGAGTCGTCTACCAAAATTGTGAAATTCATGGCCCCGGAGTTGGGGTTCTAGTGCTAGGGAGGCTGGCTGCCCGGGCTAAATGGATTATATAGTGAAAATACATTTCTAAGTATTTCTTTGAAAATCTTCTCTGCTCCTGAGCGATGTCAAGAAGCCTGGTGTTTGATTTATCGTGTGAAATTATTGAATTTAAATTTAAAAACGTCGTAAATTTTCATGCTATTGATTTTGGTAAACTTTTGTGATTCCATTTTTTTTGTAAATATAAGGAATGTTTTTTATGTAAAGTGTGAATTATTAGTGTATAAATCACACTGACTAGTTACAATGTAGCTTGTGTTTAATGGAAAATAAACCTATGTGACAAGTCTGTGTCATTTACTCATCAATAACTCACACAAATTAAAAAAAAATTCTTAAACCCCATTCAATTTTTATCCTGTTATATCTAGTTGCACACTCAAGTAAACGAAATTCATTTGAAAAAAAGATTTTGTTAATGTTTGACCTACTTAATCGATATCTTGTCAAATACGAGCCATTTAAATTGTAGTGGAAAACCCCCTAAATACAAGCACTAGTCATACGTACATTTGACTGCAGTGAAAATACTGGGGGTCACGTTTGACTTCATGTCGAACTTGTAAACATTAGAGAAAAACAAATACATTACAAACATCTAGAGAAGACCATTTAAGTATTATGTGCATTCCATGTTCAATACAAAAATTGGATCTCATGAATTAATATAAATTTCTCAAGCATGAATATGTGACCCTACTGGGTTAAAGGAATTCGATACCAATGCAAACAATACCTGTATACATTATTAGCATTGGTATCGTTTTATTAAACACATGTGTGCTCTTGATAAAGTATACATATTGTTTAGATGAAATATATGGAGATTACGAACGGCAGCGACTTCAAAATTGCAATAACATACATGCATTGTAGACACTTTACAAACAAGGAATTTAAGTATTTTCATCTAAGGTAACCTGTATATGAGTGAAACTGATATAGTGTTCAAGTGACCAGATTGCTTTCGGGAGAGTGTCCAGTGTGGTAGGATTTTTGTTACTAAAGTATATTCAAAATTATGCACTGAATACGTAAAATACACGACAATCTGAAGTAAATATCCAAGTTATCTGCTGGTATTTTAATGGAACATAAACACTGGTAGTAGTCGGGGTATTTTGTAAGCAGCTTTTTCATACAACAGTATACGGAAAGAAAATCGTTTTCCAAGCATTTTGTACAAACTGTAAGGGATTCTTTAAATATTGCCAAAGATGAAGTCTTGTACAATTTAGCAAGACAATCATAGGTCAATTTTGGGAATCAGAATCAGTTCCTTATAAATATGAATTCACTTTATAAAAGTTCGTTATATCCGTAAAATGTAACAAAATGTTAAGATGGGATTGCAAAACACCTCGCTATACCAGTAAATTCCCCATATCTTTGTTTAAAAAGTGAGGTTAGATAAGGTCATATCCATGAGGGTTCTTATGGTGACAGGTGATATACACGACCAATATTGTGTCAGTAGGAAAGATGCAAAAAAGTATTGACAATACATTATTTGAAGTTATGATAATGTTATCATAATCATGTGTCATGTGTCAAATGTTGCGCTACATTCCTCTCACCACCTCAATTTAAATGCTTTCATTACATTTACATCTATTCCAAAAAAAAGTGATTTAAGATTTTATTGTGTGCCAACACATTACATCAGAACAACACCAAAATTAAGACAGAGTTTGAAATATTTATTTTATTTACTTTATTTACCTGGTTTTTTTTTTTTGGCATAAATGACATGGTTTAATGTTTTTTTAGATTCTATTAGCATGTCACTAAACGGGAAAATTGCCTTAGTGACCGGTATTTGTGGAGGCTTGGGGTCTGAAATTGCTGCATCCCTAGCCCGATCTGGATGTACAATTCTCGGAACAGACCGTTTTGATCCAGAAACTGTTGCAGATAGCATTGCGAATCTAACGCAAAGGTAATTTTTAATCGTATTTTCTATCAGTTTATAAGAATTGAGAACCTGAAATATGAATATAATGAACAGTAATACTGTAGAAGCAGAACTTTTCATGGGGATAAAATTGCTTTGATTTGTTATCCAGAATAGTTTCGTTGGCATTAAATTTCGTTGTTTTGA